CACACCTCAATATTATAAAAGCCATCTATGAAACACCCAAAGCGAATATCATTCTCAATGGGGAAAAACTGAGAGCTTTCCCCCTAAGGTCAGGAACATGGCAGGGATGTCCATTATCACCACTGCTATTCAACATAGTACTAGAAGTCCTAGCCACAGCAATCAGACAACAAAAAGAAATAAAAGGCATCTAAATTGGCAAAGAAGAAGTCAAACTCTCACTCTTTGCAGATGATACGATACTTTATGTGGAAAACCCAAAAGACTCCACCCTAAAACTGCTAGAACTCATACAGGAATTCAGTAAAGTGGCAGGTTATAAAATCAATGCACAGGGCGCCTGGGTGGCTCAGTTGGTTAAGCGACTGCCTTCAGCTCAGGTCATGATCCCGGAGTCCTGGGATCGAGTCCCGCATCAGGCTCCCGGCTCGGCAGGGAGCCTGCTTCTCCCTCTGACCCTCTCCACTTTCATGCTGTTTCTCTCTCTCTCTCTCTCTCTCTCTCAAGTAAATAAATAAATAAAATCTTTTAAAAAAAAAATCAATGCACAGAAATCAGTGACATTCCTATACACCAAAAACAAGACAGAAGAAAGAGAAATTAAGGAGTCAATCCCATTTACAATTGCACCCAAAACCATAAGATACCTAGGAATCAAAAAAAAAAAATTTAAAAAAAATTAAAAAAAAAAACAAAAAAAGAAGATACCTAGGAATCAATCTAACCAAAGAGGCAAAGGATCTGTACTCAGAAAACTATAAAATACTCATGAAAGAAATTGAGGAAGACACAAAGAAATGGAAAAACGTCCCATGCTCATGGATTGGAAGAACAAATACTGTGAAGATGTCAATGCTACCTAGAGCAATCTACACATTCAATGCAATTCCTATCAAAATACCATCTACTTTTTTCAAAGAAATGGAACAAATCATCCTAAAATTTGTATGGAACCAGAAAAGACCCCAAATAGCCAGAGGAGTGTTGAAAAAGAAAAGCAAAGCTGGTGGCATCACAATTCCGGACTTCAAGCTCTATTATAAAGCTTTAATCATCAAGACAGTATGGTACTGACACAAAAACAGACACATAGATCAATGGAACAGAATAGAGAGCCCAGAAATGGACCCTCAACTCTATGGTCAACTAATCTTTGACAAAGCAGGAAAGAATGTCCAATGGAACAAAGACAGTCTCTTCAACAAATGGTGTTGGGAAAATTGGACAGCCACATGCAGAATGTGTCTGGACCATTTCTTTACACCACACACAAAAATAGACTCAAAATGGTTCAAAGACCTAAATGTGAGACAGGAATCCATCAAAATCCTGAAGGAGAACACAGGCAGCAACCTCTTCGACCTTAGCCGCAGCAACTTCTTCCTAGAAACATCCCCAAAGGCAAGGGAAGCAAGGGCAAAAATGAACTATTGAGACTTCATCAAGATAAAAAGCTTTTGCACTGCAAAGGAAACAGTCAACAAAACCAAAAGACAACCAACAGAATGGGAGAAGATATTTGCAAATGACATATCAGATAAAGGGCTGATATCCAAAATCTGTAAAGAATTTATCAAACTCAACACCCAAAGAACAAAGAATCCAATCAAGAAATGGGCAGAAGACATGAACAGACATTTTTCCAAAGAAGACGTCCAAGTGGCCAACAGATACATGAGAAAGTGCTCAACATCACTCGGCATCAGGGAAATCCAAATCAAAACCTCAATGAGATACCACCTCACATCAGTCAGAATGGCTAAAATTAACAAGTCAGGAAATGACATGTTGGCAAGGATGCGGAGAAAGGGGAACCCTCCTACACTGCTGGTGGGAATGCAAGCTGGTACAGCCACTCTGGAAAACTGTATGGAGGTTCCTCAAAAAGTTGAAAATAGAGCTACCATATGACAGAGTAATTGCACTACTGGGTATTTACCACAAAGATACAAATGTAATGATCAGAAGGGGTACGTGCACCCCGATGTTTATAGCAGCAATGTCCACATGGCCAAACTATGGAAAGAGCCAAGATGTTCATCAACAGATGAATGGATAAGGAGGATGTGGTATATATGTACAATGGAATATTATGCAGCCATCAAAAAAAAAAAAAAACCACGAAATCTTGGCATTTGCAACAACATGGATGGAACTAGAGGGTATTATGCTAAGCGAAATAAGTCAATCAGAGAAAGACAAATATCATATGATTTCACTGATATGAGGAATTCTTAATCTCAGGAAACAAACTGAGGGTTGCTGGAGTGGTGGGGGGTGGGAAGGATGGGGTAGCTGGGTGATGGACATTGGGGAGGGTATGTGCTATGGTGAGCGCTGTGAATTGTGTAAGACTGATGAATCACAGACCTGTACCTCTGAAACAAATAATACATTATATGTTAAAAAAAAAAGAAGAAGATAGTGGGAAGGGAAAAATGAAGGGGGGGAAATTGGAGGGGGATATGAACCATTAGAGACTATGGACTCTGAGAAACAAACTGAGGGTTCTAGAGGGGAGGAGGGTGGGGGGATGGGTTAGCCTGGTGATGGGTATTAAAGAGGGCACATATTGAATGGAGCACTGGGTGTTATGCACAAACAATGAATCATGGAACACTACATCAAAAACTAATGATGTAATGTAATGTAATTTTATAACAAAATTAAATTAAAAATAAAATATCTTTAAGAATAATAGTTTAAAAAAACAAAAGACATTTTTACAGTAATAGAACAGTTGTTTGTAAAAAGAGATTTTCAGAAAGTGAATAAATTACCTTTTTCATCTTTTACCTGAAGTTTGTTTAAATGGTAGGCTTACATTCTTTTCTCATTATATGCATGGATACCTCAAGAAGTGAGCTAGAATCTTCCTTGAATAGTGAAGTTTACTCAGATAAAATTTATGTTTTAATAGAACTTTTTATTTTCTGACCATATGCTTAAGAGTGTCTCAGATTTTTCTTTTTTTTTTTTACACTCCTGCTTTGGGCCATTGTACAACCGTCTGTCATCGCAGAAACTTTTATACTTTGTTCTTGTTTTATTTATTTTATTTTTTATTGAAATATACTCGACACATGATATTGTGTAAGTTTAAAGTGTGCAACATGCTGATTTAATACATTTATATATTTCAATATGATTGCCTTTGGGGGGTTAGCTAATGCCTTTATCAGGTCACATAATTATCATTTCTTTTTTTAGTGGGAATAAGTAAGATCTAATCTCATAGCAAATTTGTTATTTATAATACAGCATTGTTGTCTGTAATCACTATACTGTGCATTCGATCTCTAGGACTGATTTTTCAACTAGTTGCAAATATATTTCTTAATTAGTAGATCACAGTATTACTTCACTACATTGATGTCTAGTTATCTTTAAAATATTCATTTAGTGTTTGTTTTTCACACTGACATGCATCGTGTCTAAAGCTGTGTGTACCTTTTTCTGGGGCTGCTTCGGTTGCAGACGGAAAGGTCCTACAGGGAAGAATTAGATTTGGTTTAACAGGTTTTGTTTAGCACCTAGGAGAGCTCCCCATGTAATCAGGTCTAACGAAGGTCACTTTGAAAGGTAGTATTCTGTAATTTTCAAAAGACTTTTACACACATTAGTCCTTTTTGATATTCAAGAAGTTAATCAATGCACACAGTAACACGTGACTCTTCTGACAACTTCAGTAATCGATAACATCCAGAGAGGCCAAAAGAAAGAAGCCATATAGGAGATGTAATAAAAATCTATGCATTAGAATCCTACAAGGAGCTTTCGGGGGTTCATTCAGAGAGTATTTATTTATGTTATCGTGCTATCTAGCAAAAGTGCTCATTGTTTTCCCCACCTGCCACAGATTTTGAAGCAGAAAATTTAAAAAGGCAAAGGGTCCTGTTGAGGGCAAGCTCTAAGACAGCCCAAGAACAAGAAGCTGGCTCCACAGGCAGAAACTGAAAAGAGAAACAGGCATAACAACCCAAACACCAAAATGTAAAAACAACATGGATCTGAAACCCCCTCACATAAGCTGCACACAGACTTACACACCTTGATTGGCACTGAGGAGAGCTCCACACAGCAGCCCAGCACAGAACTGATTAAATGAGGACCCCGAGTCTTCAAGAGAAGTGCCCTGACAGCTGCCATCTTCTGTTCTAGAAGGATGATGTGCATCAGGAATGGTTAATACTGTTGTTGGTATAGCAGAAGTGAGAGTGGTCTAACGTACTACCCTTGTGTGTTCACTCTGTTAGCTACAACCCCAGAAGCTTCCATCTTGGGAAAGAGGATGAACGGTGCCAGGTTTCTATAGGCTCACCCTCCGGTGCCATTAACTAAACATCTCCTGTTGGGATGGATATGAGATTGGTACCTTCAAGGCTCACCCCAGGTGCTTACTCCCAAGTGGAGTGATGGAGAAGGAAGCAAGGTGAAATCTGGTAGTCTGCACACAGACATTTGGGGTGTGATTCTATCTGAACAAGAACTGATTCCCAACCCAGAGACAGCCAGGGACAAGTGAGGCATATGGAGAATCAATACTTACAGGATATGTCACTCACCTTTCCATCCCCAGCACCCAACATGCTGCCAAGTGTTGGCATTGAATAAATGCATCATGAGTGATTGATTACATCACACCCCTGAGATCCATTCTGGACATCTGTTGCTTCCTCTCCTGATATTCCCACCTTGTTGTTCATAAATCAGTCTTGAAACGTTTACCTCTGTTCCTAAGAAATACGATCATTTGTGTGTTCGAGTGGAGGGGGAGAAATGATACCATTTTACTGCACCATGATCCCCTTACCATAGTTTTTGATATTTTAATTAAAACCAAAAAGCATGACTAGCTTTTGTTCAGCCCTTATGTTATGTAGAGAAAGTATATGTTTTACCATACCTACTATTTCTGAATGGCAACCCCAATGTTTTATGGTCCTCTCTTTTTTTACCCCAAAATAAAAGGTTTAACTATTTGCCATGTTCTTTTCTAGCGGAAGATAATAGTCTGTCTCAAAAGAAGAAGGTCACAGTAGAAGATCTCTTCAGTGATGATTTCAAAATTCATGACCCTGAGGCTAAGTGGATAAGTGGTAAGTCCTGAGTCCTGCGTGCTCACAGGAAGCTACTTTTCCACAGTTTGGGTTTGGTCTGTTAGACCGTGTTCTCTCTTTGGCTGTAGAAGTGGATGCCCAGAGCTCTTGCTGTGATAATCATCTTATTATCATTCTAAAAAATGTGCATCTGGTAAAATGGGGCTGTTTCTTCGTGAGAAGTGGGTTCTCTGTGTCACCTCCCCGAATCATTCTTTCTCAGATGGAGATGTGAGCTGTTGCTAAGCAACAGGACCAGGCAGAGATACAGGCGAGCTCCCTCGCTCTCCGTGTTCTTTCTTCCCTTTTATACGGCCCTGCTTTCACTCCCCGCTAGATAGAGGGGTCGAAAGGAACTCAAAGGCTTCTTCTCGAATGCCAGTAAATGAATGAGAGTATGGAGCCTGGTACACATTTGAGAATAAATTTATTTTCCTCTTGCTCTTTAGTCTGGATGTAATCTACTTTTCTTGTTTTATGGGGGGGAATTAAACAACAAAACACAATTGGAGGCAAAAGGCAATATGTATGTTCATAATGCATTTTTTGGTCCAGGACATAATCCATTTCATCCACTTGTGGCTGAACTAATTTCCGAGTGTAGTCATGGGAGAGAAGGTGTGAATGACCATGCACCATCCTGTGCACGCTTTGCTGCCTCCCCCTTAAGTAGTCCAGCCAGCATACCTCTCCTGCTGTCTCCATGAATGTGGATTTCATTGAGGGATCTTCAGTGGGATGCACTTGAAACTTAATCCTCAGGTCAGAGAACCTTTATGGTGGAATGCTGGCAGTCTAGTTCAAATCCTGGCTTTTATAATAAATGAGGCCCAGAGAGGTTAAATGATTTTTTTTGAGGTCACACAGCTTGCCAGTGGCGCAGATATAGTTGGAAACCTGTCTCTTGACTTCCCATTTAGTGCTCTTCCCACTACTGTCTTGTTGAGTGACACAGTGTTATTGTGTTTTCTTGCTGTCAGGCTGCTTCTGAAACACTGCTCATGCTTCACAAACTCCCAGAAATCAACTAGCAATGGCTCTTCGCCATTTGTCTCCAGCTAGGGCAGTAGCTTCTCTTTTATCCTCAACTGTGGCCTCAGTATTCATTTCTGATCCTTAGATTAGCTTATTTAAAAAGGAGAGAAGTAGATGGAGCTCAGAGGGAATATATTTTATACAAAGGAATTAGGGAGAAATAGGAGCAGTGTGCTGGGAATAGCGGTTGGGGGGGACCCACAGAAATCCAGAATGCAGAGAGAGCCAAGGTCTTTTTGTTTGATGGAGGAAGTAATTTTACCTTTTGTGTTGAGGGAGACTTAGCACTTGCTCTCAGTTTGTGTTGACCCTTTGCATAGGCAGGAGGAAAGTACCAATAGCATACTCTGGGTTCAATCTTGGAAATGAAAGGTGGTTACCCACTTCTTAAAGATTGTGAAGTCATATTCTAGAAACAGAGCTAGCAATGAGTGACCAGGCATTTCAGTCTTAAAGGATGGCTAGGGGTTTACTAATTAGAGAAAGCAGAGAATAGACCCCTGGGGAATGTAAGGCTAGAATGTTAGTCTGTGCTAAACCTTAGTGAAGAAAAGAAAGTAGAGAGAGAAAAAGGCGAGAAGGGAGGGGGAGGAGAGAAAAACTGGTAGAGAGGCAAAATCTAGGGATAAAACAAATTGGAGACGAGGAACACTGAACCATAGCTGTGGGGTTCAGAGCAAGTCAGAAGAAGCCCTGCAAAGACTCCATGAAGTGCTAAAATAATATTCCTATGTCTGTTTATTGGGGTGCCCATAGTTGCAGACTGGTTCTAAATCAGCATTCTATAAGCAAAAAACAAAATTTTTAAAAAAGCCTAGATCTGGAGTCACAAGTGCTGGTAAGTTTCTGCTGAAACTATGTTGGTTATAAGGAGTTTGTATCTCATGGGCTAATTCACACTGCAGAGGAGTGGAGCTGGGCCAGAGGTGTGCTGGCTCTCTGGCCAGAGGAAACAAGCCAAAATTTCTTTATTGGCAAAGTTGGGAGTTGATACAAGCAATTGAGAAATGGCCTCGTGTCCAGCAGAAAGTGTCCAGCCTACCTGTTCGGCAGGTTAATTCTATTCATGAAGACCACCTGCAATTCTAAATGAAGTGCCTTTGGTGTCCAGGAGCTTTCTTAGAAGTACTCTCCCTTTGTAAATGTACACATCCAGTGTAACATTTTGCTACAAAGTAACCAGTAGTCAGGTTTCTCCAAAGACTAGGCACCAACCAGAGGGTAAGCGAACATGACTGTTTTCCTCCCTACACTCCTCTCAGCTGTCCTCCCGCTGTTCTTTCATGTGTTCCTCTTCCTGATCATTCCCTTTCTCCCTGATCCCTAAAATGTAATAGCTTAAATGGATGAAGTAGCTTTACAGTGGTTAACGGAGACTTTATAATTGATTCTTCACAAATACCATAAAGAACTTATCCATTTCTTTAATATCACAAGTCTAAATGTGAAGATCCAGGGAAGGATTACCACAGTCATAAGATTATCAAATGATGTGAAGCTGTGTGTGCTTTAGAAATTATCAGAACATTGCTTCATTCAGTTAGTATTTACTGAGTGCCCACAGTGCAGCAGGCAAGGGAAACAGTGTTGGGCCCAGGGAGCTGTTTCTTACTGGTAGCCTTGAGAGTCACCTCCGTCATCTACCATACCTTCTACCACCACCATCACCATGACAGCCTCCTTTCTCTCCTCTTTTCCTTTCTCCTCTGTCTGTTCCTCCTCTCTTCTTCTTCATCATTATCACCACCACACCATCATCACCATCACCACCACCATCACCATCACCACCATCATCATCATCACCACCATCATCACCATCACCACCATCATCATCACCATCATCACCATCACCATCATCATCACCATCATCACCACCATCATCATCACCATCATCACCATCATCATCACCACCATCATCACCATCACCACCATCATCACCATCACCACCATCATCATCACCATCATCACCATCACCATCATCATCACCATCACCACCACCATCACCATCACCACCATCATCATCATCACCACCATCATCACCATCACCACCATCATCATCACCATCATCACCATCACCATCATCACCACCATTATCATCACCATCATCACCATCACCATCATCATCACCACCATCATCACCATCATCACCACCATCATCATCACCATCATCATCACCACCATCATCACCATCACCACCATCATCATCACCATCACCATCATCACCATCATCATCATTACCATCATCGTCACCATTATCATCACATAACATCATCACATCATATGACATCAATACCACCATCATCCTTACCACCACCATCATCATCACATCACATCACATCATCATCATCCCCATCATCATAACCTACTGGGGGTTTCCTATATCTTATGCTCTAGGCTAAGTGCTTTGTACCTATTAAATCATTCAATTCTTGCAACCATTATTCCCATTTTACAGATGAGGAAACTGAGGCTTATGGTGTTCAAATAACTTGATCAATATCACAGTTAGTAAGTAGCAAAATTTGGACTTGAACCTGGGTCTCTCTGGTCTTTATAAATTGTGCTACATTGGATCGAACCCAGGTTTCTGGTGTCCAGCCATTTTCTTTCACAACCTCACTAGCAACATAGTGCATTTTATCCAAAACTATAAGTTGCGAATATTTCAAAATTATTGTCTTCCCTTAAATTCTCTATTCTAGCTCTCCTTATTCCCATGATGTCAAGCTAACAGAATACCTAAGTGATAAAGAAAGTGGAGTAATTCCCCATAGAGAAAGTAACTTGATTGTTGTATTTTTATTATTATTTTTTAGTGCACATCAACCACTAAAGATAACAAGTGTAGCTTAGGTTTAGTATTGGAGTTAATAGTCTAGAACCTCATACACTTTATCAAGAGGAAATTTATCAGGTTAGGGTTAAACTTCTCCTCACCCAGTTTTATACTAGAGACTTGCTCTAATCTACCTTTTCTGAGAATGATTGGTATAATAGTCTTCATACTCTCTGCCCTCACATATTGGTTGCAACCAGATGAGGTCTGTGGATCAGCAGAATGGATACATTGAGCACCCCCTACAGAGAAGGAGGTCCACACGTCCTCAAACTGGCCACAGTGCAGTCTGTCCACACACTCGCTTGGTGGAGGGAATTCTCCCTTCTTTTGTAGTAACCACATTGTACTGCTCAGCCTCCTGGATTCCTTGACGTGCTGTGCTGGGATTCCGTGATGTGAGGGGGTCAGGCTTTCACCCCAGCACCCACCAAAACTCCTCCATGCAGTCCCCACTAACCTCCAGGTAGCTGCCTCCCATGGTCACTTCTCAGACCTCATCTTACTTTACCTGTCAACTGATTACTCCCTCCACCTGGGTGGACTTACCCCTGACCTGTAGGTCATCATATTCCCTTGGCTTTATTTCGACGGTAGGGATGACTCCTTCTCAGGCTCCTGTGCTGCTTCTTGCTCTTCTCCCTGACCTTTCATGGTGGTGGGTCCCAGGGCTCAGCCTCTGGTCCTCCCCACTGAATATCTGCACTTCCTTCCTCAGGGTTTTCATCGAGTTTCATGACGTTAAGTATCCTCCATCTACTGATGTCTCCTGAATGTGTGTCTCCACACTGCATCTCTCCCGAAGTTCTCAGCTATCATCACAACCTTCAGCTTCAAACTCCAAATCTGAGTTCTTGATCAATCCCCCCCCCGCCGATACACACACAAAACAAAAACCAAAAAATAACCCCTGCCCTATCCACTGCTTCTCCCAAGTCAGTTCATGGGAAGTCCATCCTTTCAGCAGAACAGGCTAGAAAGCTCAGAGTCATCCTTTGCTCTGCTCTGTCTCTTGTACCTCATATCGATCCATCAGGAACTGTGCCAGCCCCACCCAACATACTCAGCACCCATCCAGACTCAGCCAGATATCTGGGTTCATGATGCCATGCCACAGGCAGATTTGGCA